AAAGGACTTCCGATAGTACAGGCGACGCAAATCGCCGCTCTCTCCGTCGTCGTCATTCTCATCCTCGCCCTCGTTCTCGTCGTCGCACAGACGACTTGCCTCTGTGTGCTTTCACTCGCGCACCGTGATATCTAATCGCGAGCCGATCGACTGACCTTTCGTCAGTTGCGATGCAACGTCACCGAGAGCCTTGCCTCTCATCCCGTGCAAACAGACGTATCGGACGTATCCGCGCCGCGCGGCTCCGGATAGAGAGAACGCGTGTGTGGCCTCTCTCTCTCTCTCTCTCTCTCTCTCGCACACGTGCCCGTCGCCGCCGCGCACGTCTAGTGCTTATGGCGGGTTTATACGTGCGCGTACCCAACATGAACAGCCCATATGGGTCACTGCCAGTGACAGGGAAATACTGCCGCTGCTAACTACTGCCTTTTGCTCTAAGTTATAGCGGCGCGCGTTATATGGATCCGATGCCGCGCGCGTTCGCTGGGCTTTCATTATTTTTCTCTGCGCTCCCTCTTGCCGCTCAACGACCGTCAACCCTCCGTCGCGACGTCCTTCGCGACGGCTGTCGAAGGAACTTGCGCGGTCTCGCCGCTCGCGCTTTCGCAAAATCATTGCGAAAGTCGGCGAGGTGATCCGTCGCACCTTATGACCGTGCGAAGGAGCGATCTTCGCGAAGAGGACTGACACTTATTCCTGAGATTATGATTTCTACGACGAGCGCGACGAGTGCCCTCGTAGAGCTTGACCCGCTGTAATTTGGCGAATCGCGGCCGCCGGCTCGTTTCATCTTCCGTTTTCTTCGGATCTGAGAGCAGAGAGTCTCATTTAATTTTCATGAAACCACACCGCGCCGAGTAAACGTCGGGAAGTTATTTCGCCTTGCGGTAATTTGAATAAATGCTCCACTTGCGCGATCGGTATTGGGAAACGCGTCGGACTTCTCTCGTGTACGATACCTAACGCGTTCGCTCTAAATGGTACAGGTATGTACCATAGTCGACTTGCTCCCTTCCCCGCTATTTTAACGAAAAACTGATGAATCGAACGGAAAATAATATGAAATCACGAAATGAGATGGTTACGCGACGAATATCACCGTGCCGCGACAAAGCTGCGTAAAGCCGTGACGACACGATTGTGAGTATCGACCGCACTTTTAATCACCCGCTCGCGATTAAGCATTAAAACTTCAAAGTATCCATCGAGAATCTCTGCGAACCGCAGACAGAGTTTGAAATCTTTAAAGTCAACCGAGAGTAAATGTACGCTTCAGCGTAAGTTACCGACGACCTCTTCCTCTCCTCGCGCTCATCCGTCCTTATTTCATGCTTCTTTTTTATTTTCTTCTTCTTTTTTTCATTACGCCCTGACCGCTCTGATGAAATCGCCGGAATCGTCCGCATCGATTCGGCCTCGCCACTTGGCGTCGCCTAATCCACTTGACTGGAGGGTATCCTTTGAATTTCAACTCAGTCGCGAGTTTCGTAATGAGGAAAATATGACTAGACTCCTGTGCGCGCGCGCCGAGTCGCCTCTGCGAGCGTTCAAATTATCGTTATGTCGGGAACGTGACGTGAAAGAAGATCTACCTTCTACCCGATATATATACTTGGCGCTATCGTAATTACGCGAGTAATTTGCTTTAGCAGCCATCCAAGTACCGTATGCCCAATTAAGAGGAATAGACAATGTGATATTCATATGAGCGCGATATCTCAGCGATGGCGCGGATTACGCGATAAATTTTTCACGTTTATCCAATTGCTTCTCTCTCTCTCTCTCCCCCTTTCTCCCTCTCTCTCTCTCTCTCTCTCTCTCTCTCTCTCTCTCTCTCTCTCTCTCTCTCTTATATCGACGAGATATTCCCGGAATTCGATTATTCAAATTTTGAGAACGGTTCGTCGTGTGTACTCAGCGTTAACACAATTCGCGAACCGGTGTGGTAGTGCGGTTTTATTCACGCATGTATTTCAAACACAAGATATGAAATTCGCGCGGTTACACAGGGTATCAATTTGCGTGAAGTAGGTCTGGCTTGCTGCTTGTCCTTTTTTTTGATAATTGCCCGCGTTGATCCTTCGCGGCGATTTATTCTTATTGCCTATTCGTGACGTCGCGAACACATGTGTCAGGAACTCCGTGAGTGCCGGACGAGAGAGAGAGAGAGAGAGAGAGAGAGAGAGAGAGAGAGAGAGAGAGAGAGAGAGAGAGAGAGAGAGAGAGAGAGAACACGGGCGTTTCATTTCGCGGCTACTAACTACACACAGCTGCGCACCGTCATCGTCGTGAGCCCCGTGTAACGCTCGAAATTTTGAGCACGTGTCCTGAAACGACGAATCGCGCGCACGTTAAGTTTGCCCGTATGAATGCCTGGGGCTCGTGTGCGATTTCCCTCGTCCTTTGCCCGTCGCTCGAGATTCGCGTCGTAGATCGCGCGGTAATTAGGAAAGAATTGTGAATTAATGCTCATTCGCTCCGCAATTGAGCGGCGAATTCACCGGGAATATTCTCTCCTGTATTGTGTAATAACATAACGGGTAATTTTATTTGTGCAAATAACGAGACGAACTTTCCTCTGATTTTAATTCTGAGCGCGTTACTGCGGCTGGCGTTCTATTTACATGTTTCTGCCATTTTTAATTACATCACACTTAGAGAGAGAGAGAGAGAGAGAGAGAGAGAGAGAGAGAGAGAGAAAGAGAGAGAGAAAGAGACTCAGTTAAATCGCACGTTACGCGTGTAAAAATAACGAACCTGGATTTGCAATGCTTCAACTTCTCCGCTAACGAAGGGAGTAACACGACGAGCGTCAGGAGTGACGGATACGCGAGACTGAGGAGCCAATTTCGGGTCTTGGCGGGATGAACGAATGAGTGAATAAATAAATGAAGGAGGAATAAATCTCTGATTGAGTTGAAACAGAGTGAATTGGAAGGTATCGCGGAAGACAAACGAAAGAGCTTCTCAGATTGCCTCGCGATACTCGCCGGTGTCAATAGTTAACGTACGGCTGTTCTTACGAAGAGAGATCCTATTCAAGAAATCACACAGAACACGCCGCGCTCGAGCTCGCGTGGATGTCGGAAGTAAGAAGTGAGCAGCGCACACAGACCCTAATGAACAGATTACACGCAACGGAGAATTGCGGAGCTACTCCGCTCGCTCGTTCGCTCAGTTACTCGTAGGTGCTCGGGCATGCTACGTAATAGGATCGCGGAATTAGAATTGATAAAATCCATTAAGAATCAGCGCAGATCTGAGCGCAGCCTGTACGAGCGAGCTGAACATTCGTCCTTGCACGAGCGCTAAATTGCCGGTGAAATCGCAGTCGCGCTTCCTCGCGACGTGCCTGACGCGCAGGCCGAGAAATGCGAATCTCACCGTCGCCATTCGTCACCATTCGTTTATGGTGGTTACGTTTCATCGTGCACCACTTCTTCCTCGTAGGACATTTATTCGTAGATATTTCTAAAATTCGTCGTTCAGCATTTCATCGTCCGCAACATCATCCAGCAGATATATCATCCTTGCTTGCTAAATTTCATCGTTTATTTTTTCTGTTTTAATATCGCGTATTACAGATTTTTCGTCTCGTTAAATCGATGATTCAAGCAATTTTTCTTCCTGGAACTTTTCACAGACCGAGGTGGCATTTCGATTTCATTGGAAAGAAAATATGTGTACGTAAGCAAACTGCCAATACAAAGGGAAACGTCACGAGCGAAAAAATGTAAACAATGAGTAAATATAACGGCGACGAAGAAGCGGACAGTGAACGATGAAATGTTGTCGTGGGCGACAAAGTGTTGTATACGGTGAAATATAATAGACAACGAGGTAGCTCAAGGACAGGTGTCTACAAACAAGCGTCCAACGACGAAGTGGCAACTCAGATGATATCATTATCATTACCTTTGGCAAATTCGCGTGCGGGTGTGTGTGTACGATGTGATAACGAGCGAATGAGCGATACAAGCGCGCGATAAATAATTGTCACCGATGCAATTGGCTTCGTTGCAAAGTCACCGCGACCTTGTTATTTATAAAATGTTATTTATGAAATATTATAAATTTACACGTACATATTTCACGACACATATGAAGAACGTTGTGTTTTGTCCTCATCAATTGAACGCGGATCGCAGATACCGTAATTTATAGCGAGACCCGGATACATCAAGACGAAATAACGAAAAACGTTTTTGCGTCTTCTGCGCGCAAGCGCTCGCTGAAGACGGGGTTTCCCCGTGAGATTAGTTAGCTGTAAATAATAACTGAAAAGCATGTTGCGCGCTTACGTAACTTGCAGCAGTTATTCCATCAAACACTTATTTCCGGCCAGGACTTCCGTCCAATTTTAACGACATGTTGGAGACTTGCGAAAGCTCGTCGGACCGCCGACGATTTTACTGGCTCAAAAGATGAATCACTTTACAGACACGGTGTCAGACAATTACCTGAAGAAACGTAGCAGAAAAAAACACAGCTAAGCGACAGAAGATGGATAACGGTGACATTTTGATTGAACATGGTACGTTCTCTGTTTCGTTATTTATTGCTAAAAGAGACACGATTAGAAATAATCCGACAAACTCCCGCAAGTTCCTGATTATATCGTGTGCGACCCGCACGATATAATACAAGACGATTTTCCAAGTTAAATTTTTGAAGAGTTGTATTTGTGTGTATGTGTGTGTGTGGATGCAAACTCCACTAAAAATTACTCTACTAAGGAGAATACAAAGATGATAAGGACGAGACAAAGTCCGAGTGTGCCGCAGGAATGCAATATCTCTCGCGGGAGCAGGAGAAGCGCGCAGTCTCATAACGTTTATGAGACTCGATTGATATACTCGACGAGTATCGGTCGATTGCAATTTTTTGCGAGCTTAGTTTCGGTCGAAGGACTGCGTTTCATAGGCATATCACGGGGGCGCCAGTGCACGGTCACTGCAAGCACGTGGTAGTTATAGAGGTCGCCTAGAGAATCGGGAGCTTTCAAACCCCGCAGCAGTCAGTCGGCAGCCGCCCGTGCTGTACCAACCGGGGGTGATATTTTCCGCTCTCGTAAAGTTCATCTCTCGTCAGCATCGTAAAAGGGGAAAAAAACATCACACGGGCTCGTGACAGGCGGTGACTGGCGGATTTGTAACGAGGTAAGTGACGAGGATGTTCGACGAGAGTGAATCTTTACCGCGAATTTAATTTGCAAGAGATCGACGGAGAACAAAAAAAGCGAGAAAAAGATGACATACACGAGCGTAAGTTGACGCGTCTCTTCCGCCGAAACTGTGTATTTTATTTTCCGAATTTAATGAATATTTAATGAGCTTTTCGACGATTTTTCGTTTCGTGAAATGCGAACCTAGTGAGAAATAGAGCGAGAGAGAGAGAGAGAGAGAGAGAGAGAGAGAGAGAGAGAGAGAGAGAAAGAGAGACATAGAAAGAAAGAGATAGAAAGGCGCAGCGACGGAATTTATCACTGACAATGTGAATTTTTACGGTGATCAACAATGCTCGCAAACTCATGGGGATCAATAAAAGCGTTGGCCGTATGCAACGACTAATGACGGCTTCTCTTTTTGTCCATGTGTGGCTTGTTACGCGTTAGTTAATTAGTTTGCTGAGCGTCAACGAAAGAGAGAGAAAAACTGAACACGCGAAATACCTTGAGTCGCAATAATCGTAATATGTTTGTTAGCCATATTTCCGAGCAAAAACACGCGCACGACCCTCTAATTTCCGGTTAAGTACGCCGAGGATGCGACCGTCCTTTTTCGCCGTCGCAAATCATATTTTTGCTACCACCGTTCGAAAGATTACGTCTCCCTCTCTTCCCCCCCCCTCTCTCTCTCTTTTTCTTTCTCTTTTTCTGTGGTCGAATTATCTTTTTAATGAAAGCTGTCTCGTAGTATTTTGCCATCTTAAAAATCTTCTCTCTTTTTCCTTCGCTTTTAATCTACTTTGCATATTCGATTTTCTTTTCAATTTCTGCGTAATATCGCCAAGATTATCGACGAACACAATATAGCACACCTTGAGGCATAAAGTATGTTAAATACTTAATATGGCACGGGGAACGCAGTATCGTAACGTATACTTGAACCACGACATAGAGGGAAAGAGAGAGAGAGAGAGAGAGAGAGAGAGAGAGAGAGAGAGAGAGAGAGAGAGAGAGAGAGAGAGAGAGAGAGAGAGAGAGAGAGAGAGCAAAGGGAAAAATTTATATAAAATAAATGCACGCGCAGAGGTGCGCGCATACACACACACACACACACACACACACACACACACACACACACGACGACGCCTAGATTTTTTTATGAAGAACGCGTGCCATGAATCTGCGACGAAAAGTCACATATGTTTAGAATTTTATTTAGTTCCAGAGTCCAGTATCGGAGGGAGGGAGAGGCTTAAACTGCGCGATTGAATAATATATAAAGATTCGCCGTGACACTGTATTTTGCTCGAAGCGCGCGCCCGACGTCGAGAGTCGTCGTGTCGACTTGGCGCTTTTTCCGAAAATTCCACCCTCCTGAATGATGCATATCTGCCGATAACGAACATCATGTAGGCTTCCTTTAATCGATTTCACATGCCGCGTTCGGATAACGCGTTTGACACGATCAGCGAGCCGTCCTCCTATCCGTCTTCCTATGTAAATGATTCGGTACAAGGGACGGCGGATCGGTCGGGCCGATCGTCCAATTTCCATCGTAAGTGCGCGCGTCTGTGAAAGGATCCATATTAAACGACAACCATGAGAACAACGGTGACGACAATCCGAATTCATCGACCCTTATGGATGACCCGGCAGCGGCACGATGAAAATTCGACCTATAGATCATCCGGCAGGTGCACGACGCGCTCATAAATTTAACGCTATTGAAATAAATCTATAGAAAATCGTGACGACCCCGCGATGATTAAAACACCACCGCAAAAAAAACACCTCGGTGCCGTTTGAAAGCTGCCACAGCCGGCGGTTTGTATTAAATTTCCCGAAGCGATTGTATTGGATACGCGAAGGACGCTGTGCCTTTAATTCGTTGACCTTTAATTCGTCGAGAATCATCGTTGTCGCGGCGACGTTCCCATCGATTGGCGAACAACCGATCCGTCACGTAGCGGCACTTCGACAATGGCGCGGGTAGTATTTCGCGTACTTCTTCGTCCACCGGATCATCCGGTTAAGCTATAGCTTTTCAAATCGCTACGAGAATGTCAGCATCTGCCAACTAATCTGCATTAATGCGCTTAGGAAAGCCAAGTTCTCGCGCGAGTTAAGTTGACGTAGTCTCATCACGAAGTTCCACTGTTACCGCCTTTGATTAAGAAACGATGCCCTGATTCGAGGTGTGTGCGAGTGTGTGTGGCTGTAATATTCATAAGTACCCGTAAATACGCCGCGACGCACGTCGCAACTCGTTCAATTATTTCGTCGGCGGATCCGTCGCGCGTTCGCCTAACTTTTCGCCGACGGACGTCGACGGAAGTTCGGCCGCACGTTAATACTCGCGTGCGCATATTCGGAACGAGTGTTGTGTATCCGCCAAATTCCTCCGACATCGTACCTCGGCAATCGGGAACGCGAGCGCGGCTGCGATACTTAGCATTTTTCTTCGGCGATACCGTTCGAATAACGGTTCACGTGTAGCGGCGGTCTCTTTGTGCGCCCGATGATCTCAGCAATAAATTCGACGTGTTACGAAGGAGAAGGAGTACGTGCCAGCTTTGCTAAATGTCCGGTATACTCACACACTCATCCACCCGCACACAGCGCGCGCGCGCACAACACACACACACACACACACACACTCATTCCGGGTTAACGTCGAATGAGTCGCAGTCTCTGGATTCGGAACCGAAACTGCACGTTCGGTCTTGTTTTAAATGGCGACGGATTGACCCGCGACCGACCTTTTAAAGTATTCTCTGATAAACTACGCCCGAACAAAAGGTCGTTTGAGAAACCACCAAGTCTCGCGCGGTGCTGATTCGATTGCGCGCACGGACGAGAGACGTCCGCGAGATTTCTTACTTCCACCACTGTGTTTTCCCTGTTCTCCTTACGACCGTTCCTCATTCTCTCTCTCTCTCTCTCTCTCTCTCTCTCTCTCTCATATCTCTCCTTCTGCCTCCCTCTCCTCTTTCTACTCTTTCTCTCTCCTGCGTACTCCGGGTTTCAACAGCCGCTATATCCATTGTTCTTCCCACGCCCGTTCGCTCACTAGATGCTCTCTCATGGCCGATTTACGTGCACGGCTCGCTGCCGGACGTGCATATTTCGCGAGGAATTCGCGAATTGACCGGGTCAGTCCGATTCTATCACACGCGGATAACATCGCCCGCGCGCTCGTGGTATCGACGAGTATCTTTCTCTCTCTCTCTCTCTCTCTCTCTCTCTCTCTGTGAATTTACGTTAAATCCTTGACTCCGCGATCCGCTAATTCTTTCACCGGCAGGCGTAAATATGATAGCTATTTCCTCGCGTTTTTACACCCCGATTCACGCGAAATCCAATGCGAAGCGTGAAAAGTGCGCGATTCTCATCATTTTTCTCTCACGCTCTCTTCATCCCCTCTCACCGTACGCCTCTGTCATCTTTTCATCCCTCCATTCTCTATTTCTTCCTCTATGTCCTTCGCTTTGACATCTCTCTTTGCATTCTGATTTCTGATTTTTCATAGAATCGCAGAGAGATTTCCTCGACGTCGAATTATCCGTGTTCTTGCGATCAGATTTGCGCGCGATGCACGCGCCAGATATCGAAACAGCGCGGCGAAATTACCACCTTCTCTTCTCCTCCCTTCTCTCCTGGCTTTCTCGTCACACACGTAGTAACACCAAGTTCAACCAAAATTGGGAAACTATACTTGCAAACTAAGAACCATTAATACCTCGGATCATGTTCTTAGCACAGACTTACGGCTCTACAGTGGATTACCTATAATACGATTCGCCGATAAAATCGCTGATCCGTCTAATCTTTGCGACCGGAGAAGAACGCGCGGGCCTCCGAATTAGAAGTTTCAACAGGAGCAAAAAAAAAGAAAAACAAGGAAGAAAAGAAAAATGGGGAACAGGAAAGAATAACCAAAATTTCATAGTGTACTTCCCGGAGAGGGTACTCACCGCTCGTGTGGATACATGTGTATCGTCCATCATCTGTTTGTGATTTTCCCAGCATGATCCACACGGCGAGTCGTAAATTGGACACGCGATATAAGCCGCGGGGCTCGTGCTCTCTCTCTCTCTCTCTCTCTCTCTTTCTGCCGCCCCTCCCGCCTTTCTCTCTCTTTCATTAATTACCAACGCGATTGATAGTTGGCGGTTGATCCGCGCCGACGAATTATGCGGGTTACGCGAATTACGCAAATTGCATGTTAGCCGAATAAATAATCTGCGACATGGCGGACGCCGCCGCCGCCGTCCCGATGTTGGACTCGAAATAATTCCAGGATCGCCATTATACGCGTTACTTAATAACGGGACGACCTCCCGTTGATGAGAAACGACGAGTCGTATTTTCGTCAACTGGTGGGATCGATTGTTCCACGGCGAAGGCGCGCGGTGTATCTCACAATTCTGGCGGGCAGAAATCTCCGGCAGCTTTCATAAGACGGAAGTTTCCCTTAGCGCGAGCGCGAGCGCGCGCTCGCCCGGAGAGCGGAGATTGAATTATTTTTCTTTTCTACGCGGTGGGATTGCACTCGTCAAAAAGTAAGCAATTACAGCGATTGAACGGGATTCGCGCGCAACAATATTTTCAACGCGCGAGGTTTTCAGCGTCGTTGACGTTCTCAATAGTCGAATTACGCGCACAATACATTCCGTGCACACTCGTTTTCCTATACCGGTGTGCTTTGTGTCTTACTACATATATATATATATTATATGTGTATGTGTGTGTGTGTGTGTGTGTGTGTGTGTGTGTGTGTGTTCGATAACTTTTCCTCTCCGATGCGCGATAATACGGTAAATGGTTCAAAGAGCACGACGTCGGAACACGTGTAAGCGCGAGCTCCGACGGCACGCGTTTACGTTCGCGCACGAAAAGTTAATTGTTAAGCGTTCGCTAATAGCATCGCTGTAATACGCACTACTACTTCGTCTTGGCCCGTTCAACTTTCCTTGAGCCGTACAGCTCGAA